ACCTGCCATCTCTTTCCGTCATTTCCCTTCAAGTATTTTTCATAGAACATTACTTTGTGGAGGCACCCAAAGCCATGAACCCCAGATTAAGATGCCAAATCATGAAATAATTTTGAAGTTAGCATTGTCTGAGTCATCATAGTGACAAGTTTCTGTGCTGAGGCGCAAAACAAAGGCAAAAAAAAGAAAAGAAATCTACTTAGTTCCATTTTAAGTGCTTGATTTAGTCTGTTGGAAATCACAAACCTGGTATGTTCAAGGAACTGCCTGCATTCTGCACTGGAAGGAGTGTATACCAACTTCTTCTTGCTACTTTCCACCCCTGATTTTGTCTTTTGGTTTCCTTTTTACATGTAAGGCAGATAGTTTCTCCTCTGACCTCATTTAAATTTAAATTCATTTCATCAACAAAGAATCAGGCTGTGTTACAGTCTAGTTCATACAGAAAGATCGCCAATCTTTTACGTTGCTCAACTATTAGAGCAGAATTGTATTTCACTATATCTTCTGCAGATATAGTGGAATCACCGAAAGATTCCAACGAGATGAACCTTTAATCCACATCCTATACCCTCAGCTACAAGAACTGTTAGGGAAACTGGCTAGACGTGTTTGCAAGTCTGTTTCTGAAGATAACTATGATGTGAATGAGTTATTTGATTTGAAAAACATGTTACCCATGAGAGATGTTGTTGTTTCATGGGTAGTTAAAAAGGAAATTTCACATCTTCCAGAAAAAAATTTCTTGGGGGTTATGAAAAATGTTAAAGAGCATTATGTTGCTGGATGCAAATACTTGATTGAAAAGGTAATGAAAGGTGGTGGTTTGGTGAAAGCTCTGAGATGTTTAAACCCTTCTCTTGTGAAAACCCGAAAAAGCTGTCAAGATGTAGTTTCAGTTGCCAGAGAACTCCCTATCGATACAATAGAAGATATTCTTGTTGATGAATGGAAAATGTTGCAGATGGAGACAGACTGTCCAGCTTTTGAAGGAAGAGAATTGATAGTTTTTGAGATAAAATTTTAAAGAAAAGTAATGTATCTGGGGGAAAAAATATCAAGAGTTGGCGAAAGTTATCAAGACTGCATTGTCTCTATCACATGGAAATGCAGACGTTGAGAGGGATTTTTCTGTGTCAAGATGGGCTTTGACTGAGGACAAGGCTTCCACTTGTGAACGAACATTGAATACAATTTTGTTGATCAAAGATACATTGAAAACCTATGGAAACAAACCTGAACTGGTTCCCATGACATCAAAACTTATTGCTATGGGACAAAGTGCACATAAGCAATACATAATGTACTTAGAGGAACAAAAAAGATTGAAAGAGGAGGAAGAAAAAAAAAGAAAGAGGAGGAGATACATTTAGCTAAAGTGATGTAAAAGAAAAGGCTAAGCCAGCAGAACAGTCTAGGAAAGAAATTGCTGAGATAGAAAGTAACATATCACTGACAAAAAAGGACCATGAGGCAACTTCTGAAGCATCTGATCGTCTGTTCAAAGAAGCCAATGAATGATTGAAGAGAGCAATACAGAAAGGAAATATGCAGGAAGTTAGTGCTGCACAGGGTAAGTTGGAAGGCTATGTTGCTATGCGTGGAACTGAGCGGCAAAAACGTAAAGAACTGGAAACTCTTCAAAAACTAGAGAGGAAAAAAAATAGTTTGATCACTGTTTTCTTTGGTAAAAAAACCTAAAAATTCTTGATTTATTTTTTATTTGAATTAGCATTCCATGTAATAAAAAAAATCCTAATCATATTTTTAGTGTGGTTTTTGTTTTTATTCAATAATAAATTAAGAAGCCATACCCCATCCAGGACCAGAAACAAACTTAGCCTTAAACACCAAGTGATATACTGTGCATGAATATATATGCATATATACACATAATATATTCCACTGTATGATACACTACATACTTTTGGAAGTTTTGATTAACAAACTGCAAAATTTAAATGGAAAGAAAACCACTAGGTAGATATTATCATAAATGATAATAATCCATTTGATCCAATAAATCATAATAATCCATTTGATGCCAAGCTAAATAACTTTTTCAGTTTTTTTAGTGTGACTGTTGATGTAATTTTACATCCCACTCAAGTTTTGAGAGAAAAATTATATTCTTTATCATTTTGTAGTTACACAAAATGTATATACTTATACATTTGTTTCTGGTCTCAACCGGCTGTCCGAGTTTGGATCTCTGCCCCACGGGGAAGACGGGAGTTACCTCCAGTCTCCAAGCAAGGAGACCACCATCAAGCCGGAGAAGAGCTGGGGAGATGGAGGAGTGGAAAACAAGGAGGGATACAGCAGACAAGACCAGGAAGTATTCACCAAAGAGGGCTGGACTGGCAGATCTTTGAGAACTGGAGACACTCCGAAGCCCAAAAGAAGCAAGATGAAGAGAAGCGGAAGAGAGATCGAGCCCCGTGGAGATGAAGATGTGACTTCCATCTCCTGTAGACAATATCCACCTGGGCAGAAAGGCGGAAACATACCGGGAGCGAGCTCTCAATGATTGGCGGGGGAGGGTAGGGGAAGCCTAGGAATTGATTATTTAAGAGGGAAGTCAAGGGAGAGCCGAGGAGGGCGTGCCCACTTGACTCCGTGTGCAGAGGCCTGGAGGGTCAAATGGGAGAAAGTGGGAGACAGGGAAGAGGGGGACGACGGTCAGGAGTAACCTCCCCCCTTCCTTTGTCACCACTGAGGCTCATCCTGCGACTGGAATACTCTGAGAATAATCATCCTGGAGCAACTGTTCTCTCCGCACTCGGCACAACAAAACCCAGGTACCAACACTGACCTTTCTTTGGTTGGGGATTATTAAAAAATACATGTATTTTATTTATCAGAATTTTTAGTGTGAAAACGTGTAAGCATCAAACATTTGAACCATATGGAGCATTTGGTGACTTGGTCTCTTTAGTCTCTTTTCAGTCTCTTTTCCTGCCATTTTAGTCTCTTTACTCTCTTTTTTGGGGGGGTGGAGGTCTACCTGTCCTAGCCCTGTCAGGAGAACCCTGGGTTTCTTGAGAAGCTTATCAAAAGTTCCTTTGCAAGATTAGTAATGGCCGTTAAACTTTACTGAAAGACTGCTTGCTTTTTGTTATTGTCTCCTACAATGTGAAGGCACAGGACAGTTGTGTTGTTCAGTGCACACTCATATTTGCTTGAGATGATGGCGAGATCTAAAAAGCCTTGGCTGGTGCCCACGAATGTGAACGGAATGTGTACCATAGAACTTGCCCTCCGCCCAGTTATCTGCACGCTCAGTATTCTGTGGGAGATTATTAAGGGTTCCTCAGCAGATGTTATAATGGGAAGTAGGAAAATCTATTTCTGCTAGTGTTTTGTAGGATCTAATCCAGAGTCTTCTAGCACTCTAAAGCAGGGGTCCTCAAACTATGGCCCGGGGGCCACATGCGGCCCACCGAAAACATTTATCTGGCCCACCAGGTGTTTTTACCACTGTCCTGTCCATATGCTGCCCAGCACAAGGGGCCCTGGCGAGCGTTAGGGGTGCCATTCCCCTCGGCGCGGCGCCGCTTCCACTTTCCAGGGCTGCAAAAGTTTGCTTTTTTCTCCAACTGCTGGGGACCTGCCAGAGGGCCAGGAGCGCGGGCAGCCAGGCCGGCACGCCCGCTCTCCCTTCCCAGGGTTTGGGTGAAGGTTCCCAGTGCCAGGCGAAGGTTCTGCCCCTTTCCCCTGAAACTGTCCACGGGCCAAGGAAGAGAGACGCGAGGCTCTGCCGGCGGCAACTCCAGGCTGCGCTGCTGGCTTGGGAGAAAGTCCGTCACTTCCCC